CGTGGCTTGGCTTGCTACTCTGGCGGGCTGAGCCAGGTATGGCCTCGGGTTACTGTACACGCGTAAAGGCTTTCACCTCTTAAAAAAATGCAACAACAACAAAAAACAGCGCTCACTCTTATTCTCGTTCGCGTTCGACGTTGCAACTCTTTGAGCCTCTCAAGCTGCTTGAGTTTTTTTCTTCTCTCTTTCTCGTTTTCAAAATAGTCAAGGAAGCTAAAAAAATCTTGTTGCAGTAAGGAGGAACTTCCTAGCCCACTATATTTGCCACGTGGGGTCCAGAGGAGCAACTTCCCTAGTTACTTACAACGGGAACGAAGATAATACTGGAACAACATTTAGAAACTCTCTTCTTCTTGCAGCTTTGGTCATCGAAGATGACGTCATACATCATGAAGAACGACATGAGTACAAAAAAATTCATATTCTTCTTTTACAACTTTTTTTTCTGTGTGACAAAGACAAAGAAATCATCGGTATAATTCTTACGTTGTGGAAGGGAATCGTCGTGGTGGGTTTAGTTGTTGATAGACCTTATTACTGGATGAAGAAGTCGTATCTGGAGGTAACTGCTGCGCTCATCCTTGGCCTCGCAACTTACTTTCTGATAAATGCGTTCAAGTTAGAGTAGGTTCCTTGAACTCATCTCGAGGACGACCCGATAATCATCTCGGTGCCTCGTCTTGTCCTGTTGGTCTTGGTGCTGCTATTAACTCAAAGTTTCATGGAGCAGAAAGGTAGGTACTGAAGCAGAAAGGTAGGTACCGAGATGGTGAGATGACACGAGATGAGAAAATCTTCTGACCATAACGATAACTTTAACTGTTTTCTTGGTTCATTTCCTCCACCTCCTGGCTTCATTTTTGATAATTTTCCACCAAGGCTCTTTATACAATCTTAGAGCTCCAAGCAATTCATTTCTTCGGTTCATTTCTTCAAATTCCCAAGAAGGAAACAGCAGAAATACGAGAATTGTCCAACATCACTAGCAGGCACTGGTACTCATACGTTCTCATAAATATGTTTTTTCCAAAGTATTAAGGTTATGATCATTAACAACATCTTGAAGAGACTGCTCATCGAAAATCCAACTGTACGCTCATAACCTTATATATAATATATATACCACCTCCAACTATTCAAAACCGAAAAATTGAAATGCTAGTGAACAAGAGAAAGTCTCTTAGCATCCTCCTCTTCGATAAGAACTCTGCTCTTCTTTGACTATTCGACACTACAGCACAATCAGTGCCTACTATGCTCGGCGCCGGGATTCAAAGCCATCTGCGCTGGCTGCCCTGGGGGTGCGCCTTTGTAAGGCCCAACCGTTCTGCCTGGCCTATTCGGTTATTTAGTTCCGATTTGATATCGGTGGCCCGTTGTGATTTTTTCGGGTCGGATGAAGTCCGTGGTTTTGAAACTCCATTCGTCTGCCAGATCGTAATACCCTTGTTGTTGTAAAGCACCGTCTGTCGGCATTTTGAAATGAGGCCCCAATTCTGTTCATCAGTTGCAACGAGGCCGTGTACCCTACGTGCTTCCTCGATGGAGGAGGGCCTGATGATCCCTTTCTCGCCTGGGTCAAAGTTCCAAAACAGCGCAGCATTCATGAGCATAGTGTAGTAAGCCTCGACCGTTTCCGACAAACGGACCACAGAGTTCGCGCCATCACAACCATGTATGATTAAGCATTAGAAGTAGGCCCGCTTCCCTGCATTTTCATCTCCTGTAAGTCAAAACTATAAGTGTCTACAACAAGCAACTGCATGTGATCTTCTTCCCCGCAATCAAAAGATAGAATAAAATCAAAATAACGTCGCGGCAAGCGTGAGTTAAGTCTAAGTGCCTGAGAGAACATTGTAATTCTGGTAGAGGAATGAAAAGTCCTAAAGTTGTAGTTGTACGTCCTAATTCTAGCTCTTCTACCTGAGAGAACTAAGAGATAAAGAACAGGAGGAGCGGGATTAGATCTAATTCGACAGACGCTTTCGCAAACGACTCTCGTCCTATATTCCTTAGCAGAATTCCATAAAGGATGAGGGTTCGCAAAAGCCCCACGCAGTCCCGGTATTCGTCCCCGTGATTGTTTCCGCCGGCGTCAGAAGGGCCTTGCAATACCTTGAGGCGATTGGAAAACTCGTTCCCTTTTGCGGTTGCCCAATTCAATAAGCCGCACGTTAGAGGAGAAGGAACACATCATAGTTTTAAGTAGTTCATTTTGCATTTCCAAAATTCATCTTCTTTGCGGCTGAATTTCATCTTTTCTACGCTATGCGAAATAACAGCGCCCGTTCACTACGAAACAAACTTATCATCTGTGTAATTGAATCTTCAGCGGCCTTAAATACACACGCTCGTTCTTCGCCGGAGCAGCGGATAGTACGAACTCCAACGCTTCGACATTGATGAAAGCAAGAGGAAGACAATAGTGGAGATGATATATATTTATAATTACATACACTTCCGTCAGTATATTATTTCGAAGTGCCATTGTTATTACATACTTGGCCGAATCGTACCCATTCGTGTGCATTTCAGACAGGTACATTCATAGGATCGAACTAACGAGGAGGCACTCTTTACAAACAAGAAATCAATGATGGCACATCACTTTGACAGATAAAAGGATCAGTGTCCAGCCTGTCCTTGATACAACAGTAAAGATGGCCCGGCGATGAGTTGTTGTACGCTAGGTCGCAGCATTAAGATACCACTCGGTTATTATTCTTCGGAGAAGGGTAGACAGACTGCTACCCACAGACCTACAGGCGGCCTACAGGCGGAACCTGAAGCACAGCGACGCGTTAGGCAAAAGCGGGAGAGCCCTAACAAAAAGCGCCACGGCCCGGGTGCGTTTGCCAGTGCCGCCATAGTGAAACAAGGGCCACGAGCATGAAGGAGGGCCCTGGCCAACACTGAAGAAAGAGAAGCAAGCGCAGCGGTAAAGGCAACAAGCGCAGCACCGTCAGGGGCATTCAGTCGAAAGCCGGCACACCACGCCAAGGCAAGCGCATGGGCAAGCTGCATCGTAGTCAGGGACGTAAAGTAGCGCAACGATGGCAACAAGCCTGCACCACATGCACGAGAAGGGAGCGGCGGCACCCCTGCGGGCCCGGTGCCGCTGGCTGCTATTTTCGAAGGGCCAACGCATCACCGACCGCAACCGACAGTCCCGCAAGATCACCGCAGCACGCCAGTGGAACCGCAGGCAAGAAACAAGCACAACCACCCGCGCCACGATTGGACTGATTCCAAAGTCACAGATGCGACCCCCAATAGTCGCCAGCCGGCGGGGTGCGCTGGGGCGCGCGAGTAGATGCCCTGCCGGGCCCCGGTAGCCAACCGGGCTCCATTCGTAAAACGCAGAACCAAGAGCCAAGCCCCGGACCTCGACCGAGGGCGTCGAGGTGCGCAGGTCATCTGTCGACTTTTCGCGCGGTAGCGTTGCCCCACTGGGCGCCGGTGACCAGCCGGGAAGAAACTATTCTATGAACAGCATAATTTTCGCTCTTTTTTTTTGAATGAATGAAAGAGTCCTCAACTCGACAGATGCAGCGTTTATTGTCATGTCATATATTGTGAGGACGCCTCAGGATAATGATCTATGTTATACTAACGGGGAGACTCTCTATTGAATAAACAAAGAAAAATCCAATTCGCAAAAGCCTGTGTCCTCTGGTATGAAAATAAAGATGCTAGTAGAGCGCTCAGCACACACTAAAGATCATTTGGAAAATCAAAATCTGAGTTAATTCTAATTCTTGTAAACCGAAAAAGCGCATCTGTCAAGTCGTTCGACTTTTCGTTGATGTGGTGTGGAACACCTGTCGAGGGACGACTTAGTCTAATTCACCTTAGGCCTCCTTCTTACAATTTGACCTGGTCTGTGCAACAATCCCTCCATCAGCCTGAATGGCCTTTCTTAGTGCGTCTTTCGTTTCTTGGAGTATTAGAGCTAGTGCGTCATGATCACTGGCAGCATTCATGGCGTCTTTTCGCATTTGGAAAATATTCTAGGATGCTGCCGAGGATGCTCTCCTGGTTGTCTTAAGAAATCACGCTGCAACTCTCCGCGGCCAAGCTCTTGCTTTTTGAAAAGGTCGCTTAATGTGTTTCTTGCCTGTCCAGTGTGTCCTCCTCCTGCTTTTTCTTTGTGATTATGGTGTCCAACCAGTAGTATCATCGTCTCCGGTTGACTAACGCTATCCAAGCCCTCTGCCACCTCTTGTGCGTACCGATAGCTTGGTGAATTTGGCACATTGACAGTGGGCTTCAGGATTCCTGCGACTGGATTTGACACTGCCGCTTCTATGATCCATCGGTAGTACGGCATGATCGCCCCTTGCGCACCTTTTTCTTTGCCGAGGACCGCCTGGCCACATTCCGTAGCCTCGTCGTCTTTTACGGAAGACCCGCATTTCCGTATCAGTCTTCATTAGGGGTCTGCAGTTCGCATCTCTACCTTCGTCGCTTCTCTAAAAAAATCAAACTCAAGAAATTACTTAATATATAAGTTTGTAGTCATATTATGGGGCAATCGATCCCTAAATGTTGATGTAGCACCTTCAATTTTCAAGTAATACAGCTGAGGAAAATTCAAAAGATGCGCTTTCTCGAGATGCAAGCACAACAGATCCATAATCGACGCTGAGAAGCAGAACCTGTAAGAGGTCGGAATACTCCTGCCTGTGCGCTTTTGCTTCTGCGTAGGAGAACTTGCGCAATTCACCGAGACGAACTTGAAAGGCTGTCTGGACATCTTCCCGATGCAGGTCGTTCCATCTCTTTAGACCTCGTGCATGCTGTTGAATATTCATCTGATTCATTGTCTACTGAATAAAGTTCATTTTTCCAGAATTACGAGTCCATTTTTGTACGAGTGAAAAAAGAGTCCATTTTTTGTAGATGTTGTTGAAGTGAGTAGGTTCTTGTCGTTGTACGGATAAGTATGCTAAATTTAGGAATTTCGGAGAGCCATAAAGCATTTGCATCCTCGTTTCCGCGGTTGAATAGATGTGCATAAGCCCCTTGGATATTGATGAAGGAGAGACGAGAATAGCAACAGCAATAAAAGTAAGGGGGTGTGCGCCGTCTTATCTGCAATCAAAAGGTGGAAATATTCATGTCCCCACGTCTATACATACTTCAGATCAATACAAATACTGGGAAGATCCTGCCTGGAAACAGAAACAACCGCAAAGGAAAGGTGCGTTTAGATTATTGTAAATCTCTGCTGAAACCACACTAAGTCAACCCTAAGCCCTACACCCTGTTGGGAAATGCAGCTGCAGTGGGAGAGACTTCCACTATTGTAGCCCTTCCTATGCATAGGGTGACAGACCCCAGAGGGGCTTCCCGCGACAGGAGCTTCTTATACCCCATAGAAGGGACTTCCTACTTAAAAGATAAGATGCTCCACGTAAATCATCCTAGTGATTCGCAGTAGTTTCAATATTCAAGACTTGGATATAGATTCGATCTCCGCAGTACAGTACTTCGATCTCCGCGATCGGTTCTGTGATGCACAGAGGAACGAACGCCTCCAGGACTGCTTTCATAAATTTGTCTTTGACATATGCGACAATTCCTGCGTCTATGGCCTTGCCTAGTGCTGTGTATATCAACGGTAGTCTGTTCACTGAGAGTTCCCGATTCGGAATCGATAAGGTTTCTACGTTTCCGTACGCATCGACCTGTGGCTCTTTCGTTCTTGCATCCGACTCGGCGAATTTGGTCTTGATTATTTTGTCTGGCTGTTTTTCCTCGTCAAAGTACAACTCGAAGCGCTTCCAAACGGCACCTTGCAGGTCCTCGCGTGCTTTCGCGAGCTCAACCGTCGGCTCTGGCCTTATCAGCCCTGTAGCGGGTATTGGCTCCAGTGCGGCGCTCATTAGCTTATCGTAGTACCTCTTCACACTCTCCCACGGAAATGCTAACGCTTGTAAATTCGAGTCCCTTGGGTGCCACGATGATTCGTCTTGAATCCGCTTCATCATCGGCGTGCATTCGTCGATCAGCTTTCATTAGAAGTCTGCACCACATCGAATACGAATTTGTAGTTGCACTCAAATATCCATAATATGCAATGTGATTGATTTGAAGAGAGAGAGAATGAGAAAGAGAGAGGACCAAAGTTCTGCTCAAAGACGAGAAGAAGCATAGGACTTACTTCTGTCCTCAACCGCAACACGATGCCATTATTACTGAAAACCCATAATCAACTAGAATGTGCAGAGCACGTGTAAGATCGAGATACTCCAAGCCGTGCTTTTTTGCTTCGTCACGAGAAAGCCCACTCAATTCTTTGAGGCGCTTGAAAAATTTGTCTTGATTAGCTATATTTTCCACGCCGTTTCCCAAGCTCAACATCGCGCTCGCCTCTGTATATATGGTTAGAGGAGCTCTGCGTGGTTGCTTTTCCAAATTCATCCTCGATTCTCAAATATTAAATAGAATATCAATTCCACGGAAAACAGGTGCAGCCTTCCTTTCAGAGAAGAGAAGTTCTGCCATGACTTTGAGTAACGTAGTTACTTTCAGCGGAAATCATGAATACTCTTGTGTAGACATAACTGTCCTTTGATTGCGACGTGGCCGTCGAGGACCTTCTGAATACTCCAGGGACTTTTATTATCCCAGCCGCCGATTTCCTTCACCGCGCTGTTGACATTCACGCACACGTCGCGCAAGCTTTCGACATTGATGAAAGAGAGAGGGTGAAGAGGGACGTGCTGCTTGTTTTCACGAAGCAAGAGATACACAAAAAAAATGCATGACTCGTCGAAAGTGCAATTGTCGTGAGGGGTCTTTGTACTGTGTTCGCAGTCTAAAGATTCTTGCTCTCGTTATTGTCGAATGACACAACCCCAATACCCTTACCGACCGTCTACTTTGGTACAAGCACTTACCTTCCAAAATGAAATTAATATGTACGTTCGCAGTGATTCGGAGATCTAGATATCAGGAGTGAGGCATTTCTTGAATGCCGTCTCCCTTCAACCTGCGATAAGAATATCGACATAGAACTAATAACCCCCTTGCTCATGAAGAAGATGTAGAACTACAACTACAAGACCACACACAAATAAGTAGAATTAGGAAAATGGGGAATCTGCTCACTTCATACAATTCGACTTGACCTTCTGCGCCAGTTTTCTACTCTCTGCGTGTATACCCTTTCCCCTCTCCCTATCAAGTATACGCCTAAGATCTTGGAGACTCTCCGCTATGGTGTTTCTCCTATAAAATGAGCTGGGGACCAGTAGCTCAGCGCTCTCTGTCACGTCGAAAAGCGCAGCAAGCTTTTTCTGTTCCAGCTTCTTGACTTCATCCTTAGAAGCCACCGTAATTCATCGTGAGTAGCATCATTTAAAAAGCATCGTGAGTAGCACCATTGAAGTGATTTCTTTCCCTTAAAGAAAAGAAGACTAAAGAAGATGCTTTTTAAGCGGAATTACGATCAGAACCCTTAACCTCGGACGCTCCATTGACGCTCGCATCGCTTGACGCTGTGGCTGTTTCAAGCAAATAGATCACACTGCTTACTTGCGCAAGGTTGGTCGTAGACCTGATGATCCCTCGTTGAGAGTTCTCTGCGTGAACCCGTGCAGCACCCATAAGGAGTTTCATATATTTCAAGTTAGGGGTTGCAAGTTGTTGACCTATCTAGCTGAATATCTATCCCTACCTAGCATGAATGTCTCTCCTCTTCCTCCTTGAAAGTGAAGAGGTCATAGATATGCTCATAGAGAGACCAACTTTGAGCCCTTAACCACGAGCCTCTTCCAGTCCTCTCCCTCCAGATTTGGACAGCCCAGCAACGTTCCGGTCGTGCATCCAAGTATCATCTTCTCTTAGAAAAGGTTCATTTCCGTTGTGCTGTATTAATTGCTCCTGCCTTTCCTCTTCAACACAACAAGTAGACGCAGTCTCTTTTTAATAAATGAGTAGTACTCGTCGATCTGTAGAGATACTTTTGGTAATTTTTGTACTTTATTTTAGTTACATCACCTGCATCCTGGCTGCTCCTGCTGGTTCCAAAAAATATTCTTTACGTTTACAAAGTGGTTTTTCTCTTATAAATATTTGTTCCAATAGAGTACTTTTTACTTCTAAGCAGCCATGTTTACAATCCAGATAGCAAAGAGAAAGACCCATAATGAACGACGATGTGCAGAATGTCTATGAGATCCGAGTACTCCTGGCTGTACTCGGTGTGTTCAGCGTCTACCCGGCCTTGCAGAAAAATTACACGGTTCCGGAATCGACCTTGAGGAACGGGCCCTAGCACCGAATCCTGTCCCGCCCAAGCCAGCACTTCGTACATTAGAGGCGGAGCTGCACTGAGTAAAAAGAGACCACGAAGCTGCTCACATTGAAACTTAGTATACTCCAAATATTCTTGTAGTAGTTGTATCGGACCATACATCTATCATGCTAGAGGAACCTTTCAATATGAAGCTTCGGTTCAGTAGAGGTGGGAGAGTAAGCGACTCATATGGAGACTCTATGTGGAAACAAATGGCCCTTACAGGATTGAATTCAGAGACCGAGGCGAGCCGTAAGTGAACAACTTCTTTGACAGTGGCGGCGTTAGACTTAGAGCTCACCCGGGCCGGTCCTCTCTGTGGAGATCCCTCAAGCGCTCGCCCTAGCATTTCCGTTGAATTCGGTTGTATGCGCTTGAGGGACCCCTATGGAGATGGACTATCGCGGAAGCCGTAACTTCGGGGGTGTCTCGCTGTTCCGCGGACGGGCTCACCGCGGCCCACATCGCTTTGATTTTCATGAAGAAGAGAGAAAAAAAAGCATGTCCTCTTTTCCACGACATTGATTCTGAAGATTTCAACTTTTGTGAGTTTTTCTATCTCTTTTGGGTACAAACATACAAGAGATCCTGAGTGGGAGGGTTCTCTACTTTCGGAAAGTCAATCCCATACACTGTTCTTTGACCTGGGCCACGATTGTGTCTGGAGGCGTCGTCTTTGGAGCTGCCTCAATTGCAGCATCGAGCTTTGCTCCTATGTTCTTTCCTAGCAAGTTGTATTGGCTTACCGCTTTTGCGCCGTTATATTCAAGCTGCTTCTCTATGTGCTTTCCGTCGTTAAAATCACTGTATGCCTTGGCGAACACACGGGCGCGATCCTCGTAAGTTCCTGCATACTGCACGAGGATACTCCTCAGCCTATCTCTAACACTAACCGCTTTCTGAACCGCACCGGAGTCGCGGATGATCCCAGGTATCAACATCGCAGAATCTAGAAGCGTGGCGAAATAGAGCTGGACGGTTTTCTTTTCTTCGCGTGTTATTATTTTGTCCTCTTCCCAGAATATTTCGAAATTAATCGTTCGTACTAGATGCTGCTTGGTCTTTGTCCACTCGAACATGATCTTGATTTAGGGGTAGTCATCGTCTCGCACCTAGAGTTTGCATCTATTATTTCATTTCTCTACTGATACTGCGGATGTTTTTTTCTCCTCGTAGTGGTCTGCAAAATGTCACACTGCTAATCATAATCTTTATCTTAATCATGGAAGACTTAGACCCTTTTCGGACCATGTAAGAAGATAAACGAGAGAGCCGAAGAAAAAAATGGCTCTTTTGAGTTTGCCGTTGCCCGACACTTCCCACACGGTAGAAAAAGAGTTCGCACCACATCAAAAAAGTTCGCAGTGCTCGTGAACGCGTTAAGCGCGATTCTCAGCAAAGACGCACTTTCTCATGATGCATAGTAGACGAGAGCTCATAATCGACGACATTGTTAAGAGTGACGAGTGCATCGAGATACTCCTGGGGCTGGATATCTGCGGCATTCTCGGAAGCCATCTTCTCGAGACGCTCTGCGAAAACCTTAAAAGCGACTTTTTCCCGCAGCCAGCTCAACGCTTTATGCAGCACTGCCTCGGCCGGCTTTTCGCGATTCTCATACGCTTTTTGGAACTCTTCCCTGACCGAGGCCATGACTGTGTCTGCGCTCGGTATCTGCGCCGTCGATTCTTCTTGTTCTTGATGCGCGATATTGGATGGGCTGCTCGCCAGATGCAATACTTCTTTTGCCTTTCCATAACAAAGACAGCCCTCGGGCATCTCGGGATGATCTACATTCAGTCCGAGCCCCTGCCGGCCTAGTTCGTATTAGCGTGGTCGTGTACATAATAAGTGGTGTACATATCGCGACGGGACTAAGACGAGGGAAAACGAGCCGGCTATTTTCCTGACCCATTATACTATGAAAACGGAGAGAAAGACTAAGCAGGGGGCATGTGCCAAGCCTGTGACGGAAGAAAGCCCAGGAATGCCGAAACGTGAGAAGAGTGCTAAAGTGTCGAAATTTTAACGAGCACGCTACAAAGTGCAATCATCTTCATGTCCATGCCGTTGTAGTAAAAGTACTCGCCATCGATTTCGATCCCCACTTTTAATCTTCTTCTATTTCTCCCTCAATTCATACACGAGAAATGTCGTACTTTATGTCCTTGTTGCTCACAAGAACTTGCATTGATTCTATGAAAGTAAGGTCCTGGTGGTCATCTTCCAAGAGCTTGTTGCCATAGTGGTAGTAATTCTCTGGAATCTCGCTCAGTCCTCCTTGCTGCTCATTTGTTCCTTCTTCTGTTCCTCCTTGTGTGCCTTCTTGTCTTCCGCTTTTAGCAGCGAGAAGACCGCCTAAACGCGCCGACTGTGGCCCTCCCTTTCGCAGTTTCATAGCTGCATCGAGAATGTAGATCAAATTGCAATACTCGTCGGATGAATTCGGTTCGCGTCCGCCCGGCTTGAGCTTGATTAGAGAAAGCCTACCGTAGTTCACAGCATAGTTCGTAGTGTACTGTTCAGCTTAGGGTTTTAGTCTACATACTGATACTTAGCTAGGGCTTAGGCCTTAGCCTAGGCTTATGTGCACGAAGACCCCAATAGACCCCTTGTCCCTAATAAGTGGTCCCCAGTTGATCTGCGTCTGCGGACACTTTTACTCTGCATCCTCGAGAGACCACATGAAAAATCAAAATCCGGAGAAGTTTCACAACATACAACAGCAAGCAAAAACTGCGAACAACGAAGCTGGCAAGCTATATCAAGGGTAGGACATGGACAATTCATTCTCCCATTTAATATTCAATTATATAAACTAAAACTTTTTTTTACATATTTTTATTTGTAAGAATAGGAGATCGGTATTACATGATGAGTAGGTCAGTGCATAGCGACTCAATTTCCTGGATTCCCTTCAGCTCTCGTTCGGCATACTTCAACGTGTTGACTGCCATTTTCCGAAGCCACACATTTTCAAGGGCAGCTAGTTTAGGTTCGCTTGGCCTTGACACCCAATTCTCGAGCTTCGTGGCGAGGTGCTGCACTCGTATGAAGAAGTAAAAGACGGCGGGGACTCTTATGGGGAGGGGCTGCAGCTATTCTCGTACCTGCATCTTCAAGGTGTTCAAATCACTATAATACTGAATAAAGGATAAATATACGAAACAGCAGTTGTTTCGTTCTCTTCATTCAAAGACGCTGATTGGTGGCAGATGATAAACAACATGATGTCTGGTCGCCACATAGACCCTATAATAGACAACCCACAACATGGCGAGCGAGTCGGTGATTAATGGTGAATCAGATTAAGCATGAAAACATCCTCGTTGTAAGTCAAGGTGTGTTTTCATGTCCTGTAAGAATTATGCATGAAAACATCCTCGTTGGAACGTCAGCGTGCAGCAGTAGCTGTACGTGTGGACGAGGAGCCACTAATCACTAGAGGTAACTTCTCATACAGATACGCGCCGGGTAACGCGTATTATTTTTGGGACTAACACTTGCTGGCTATTCACGCTATCGGGTATCCAAAGCACACAATTCGGATCCCGGTTATCCCAAAGACACAACCGAATAATCAAGATCAGTAACTGAACCTAGTCACATATCCAGCACCCGTTCTTACAAGTCATTGCAACCACCGGTAGCGGCTTGAGCAGTTTGGCGATGCGCTGTAGCTCATACAGGTGTCCCCCCGGTGTTCCTACAACGGCAAACAGTCCACCTGCCTTTCCTCCTTTTGCGACAACGTTACTTTCCCATTCTTGGACCTTTTCGTCGAGGGTCTTTCCTAAGAGCGAAGGATTGAAAACAACCATGCTCACGATAGGAGGAAGCAAGTCCCCTAGAATCAGTCCTGGCAGTGCCTCAAGCTCTTTGGGTTCACCTCTCCTGGCAGACTTTCCGACAAGGTCATTGAAATACAGCGCGGCTTTGCTACGTACCAAGCCTAAGAAATGCCTATCATCATTCTGCTGAATGTTGTGCTGCATAATGCGCACTACTCTGGAGAGCACATCTAGCAAAGCTGACTTCTCCACCTCTTGATATGGCAAATCCTCTAGCAGTGACGCTGCAGTTTCTGGATTTTCTCGGGCATTAACCGTAGCTAACACACCCGGGTCACTTGTGAGCGTCTTTAGCCTCTTCAGCCACGCAACGCGCAGTATATTGTCACCCCCGTCCCCTCCGCGGAGAAATGCGAGGTACTCAGAACGTGAGTGCATGTTGGACTCGGACCCGGCCGCCTTTTCCGCAAGGACGATGCTTATGAAAGTGTAGACGAGAAGACTCAGAAGATGGCTCTATATAGTATACCAACAAGGAGCCCTTAGAATTTCAGGAAATGCTGGCTCTATACAAATTGGCTTTGAAACTACACACTTCGATCGGATCTAAATTGAAACTTAGATCCGATGTGAAACACGCTCGCAGTTCCTCATCATATAAATCTGGTTGACGAGCGCAACGCAACGAAAGCCGTCAAGTTCCCGCTCACGACTCGGGATTTCTCGCAGCTGTGAGTATGCCGCGAAGAGAGCGAGGCGCCAAGCATTCTTCTCCCGCGCGTGTGCCTGCTCCAATTTAGCTCGCCCTGACTCGCCCAGCAATCCCCGATTTTTAGAAGAGGCGACAGCGAGAGGTCTACTTGAGATTTGTACTTATAGTTGACAGTGACACGCATAAAAAGCGACGCGCGCCTCAGAAATATCTAGCTCTACCAGCACCACCCGCCGCAGAGTGAGCTACGCAACCTGAAACGCCATGCATTGGCCGACCCAACCACACAACGCAGGCTGTCCATCGGGTGCACCGTCATGGAGTCCGAGTGTGCCAAGCTGCCTATGGACATCGAAAACCACGACGAAACACCAGAGGCAGACCTACCTTGCAGCTGCAGCGCCGACCAATAACGGGGGAGATACGGCATGCACAGGGCAAGGCCAACGACTTTTTGCGAGGAGCCGGTAGTTCTGATAGATAATACTTTGCAGTCTCCGAACGAAAAGGCGAAGCCCCTGGAGCAACGGCCCAAAAAAGTGGTCGACGGGCTGTAAATTATCGGCGCGAGCGTGGCCGACCAAAAAAACCTGCACAAAAGAGACGACCGAGAACGGAGCGCCACACCAAAAACAAAGGAATCCAGACCACAGACTCTCGAGAAAGCACTGCGCCGCCAATTGTCAAAGGGAGCGGCAGAAAACCGAAAGGAAAGAGCGCACAGCCACCTGCAAAACCCTTCTCGCCCCTTCACAGCCTCACCCGACGCTGCCGTCCGGCGAAGAGCTAGAGTGAGGGACAAACACAGAGGCCAGGAATGACAATGCGGCATGATAGGGCCAATAAAGGGCATCTGGGGCATCCACTAGAGAAACCGATAACCCACGTCGAAGTTGCAAATTGTAATTGTATGCATGTAATTTTCCGTCACTATCATCAAGAGCCGGGCTCGTCCTGCTCTGGATTTCATGTTACAACAAAAACGCATGCGGTCGACATTGCAATATATAGCCTGTGATGTATATGTCTGACGGTGCTGTCCGTAGCACCCTTATTAAAGGCCAGAGGTTCTGACAGTGATCATGACAAATGCCAAGGCACCGACAGTACAGGTGGGACCATAGCGGTTAGGAGTTGTTGATCACGTCACATAATACGTGTGTTTGGCTCGTTTGGACGTGGCTTTTCTAGATATTTCACGTATACCTCCGTGTACATGTTGTCAAGCATTTTGGTGGCCCGTTGCGGATCTTGTTGCGGAAGGTTGCGGATTAAAATCGGAAAGATGACCTGCAACAGTTCGGATTCCAAGCGTCCGTCCCAACACCAGGAGCCCACCCCCACGTTTTCCTTGTCAAGCTCAGTCAGCCGCCATGAAGATCTCTGACTGATTACAACAAGACCAAGAATTTTAACCCTGGGCAACTTGTTCATACTATAACTATCGACGCTATGAGTCAAAGTTTCCCCTTAGGCTTAAACAGGCGCAAGCTTACGGCTTTAGATGTACCGAAATCATGGGAAAGGTGTACAGGCTAAGTGTATACGTCTGAGATATATACCCCGAGCAGCATAGGCTATGATAGCTGCCTGCCCGGCACGTAAATCATGGGAAAGACGTCCGCTCGAGATGTACTTACACCGGGGCGATTCCTGACGAGAGTTTTGCGGGGTTCCGTAGTACTTTTGAGATGTACAGACACCATGGGAAGAATGTACTTCCAGACGTATGCACCCATCTCAGGCCGCGAAATGTCCATGGTTTTACGTACATATCTACTCCATGATCCTGCTCCCTCTCAGCATTTTGGCAGTAGGTGTCGCGTCTGGGCGGTGCTTGCTTGGCGTAGCTTGCTTCCTTGCTGGGAGCGGGTGGCTTGCTTGCTAAGCATCGCCCCACCTTGCTTGATGAGCGTAAGCTGCCAGATAAGAGGAAGGCAGCGAGCCTGCTTAGTTACAAAGCTTGGCTCGCCTGCTCAACTTGGTTCGCCTGCTCAGGTCAGCGTAGCTGGCTTGCTGGGTGTAGCTAGATTGATAGCTTGCTCGCTAAGCGTGGTGGGCTTGCGGCGCATCGCGTGCTTGCTGAGCATAGCGCGCCTGATGAGCAGCATAGCCTACCCACTTAACATAGCCAGCACGCTGAGGAATATGCATAGCCCCCCTGCTGTGCGCATAGCTTCCTTGCGAGCTGGGCATCGCTTTTGCGCTGCGCATTGCATAGCCCACGCCTTACGCATAGCGCGCCAGCTCCTTAGCCTGCTCCCGCAGCGCAGCTTGCTCACCTGGGTTGGCGCAGCTTGTTCGCTCGGCGTGGCTTGCCCGCTATCTAAGCGGAGCCTGCGCGCGATGCGTTGCGAAGCGTCACGCGCTCACGTGGAGTGCTCGCGCAGCGTGGCCTGCTCGCTGAGCCTAAGTAACTGACACGATAAGCGCCCGCGTCCTGCTTGCTAAGCATAAGCCGCAAGTTCGGCATGTGCTAGGCGTAGACTGCTTGCTAAGCGTATTGGGCTGCGCTTGCTTGCTCTTACTCAGCGAAGCTGGCCAAGCTTAGCTAAGGCGTTGCCCATGTATATGTGGAACGTGTCCACGTGTGGCACGTAGCTGCTTCACTTTTGCCATCTGGGTAGGGGATCTGAAAGATTCGGCGCAAAGGGTGGGGCCTTCCAAGCAGGTCGCTCAGGCGTAAGCTGCAGCCGAGTATTAACGCTGCGCCATTTGGATGGGAGACCGGAGTCAGCTCAAAAGGCAGAGCCTTCCAAGCGGGTCAAAAATGGGCAGCAATTTCATAAAGCTGGGCCATTTGGATCGGGGGGCTGAGCCAGCTCTTCATAAGGTAAGGCCTTCCACACTTACTAACAGCGCAAAAATGAAGAGCATCGGCACCACGTTGCGCCATTTGAATAGGGGACCTCAGTGCAGTCTGTCAGCTCTCTCAAAGGGTAGAACCTTCCAAGGGGGTCAAAAGTATGCAGGCACCTCTTCAGTTGGGCTGTGCCATTTGGATAAGCCAGGCGACCAGAGTCAGCTCAAAGGGTGCAAGACCCTCCAAGGAAGCAGCTCAAAGGCGGAGAGCTGTCGCATAGAGTTGCGCGATTTGGGCATGAGATCTGAGTCATGGCCATCCAAGTTGTTCAAGAGTGGGCAGCAGCTTGCCAAAGGTATGCCATTTGGATGCATACTACAGGCGACCTGAGTCAGCTCAACGGGTAAAGCCTTCCAACGAAACGGGTCAAAAGTAGAAGGCAGTCTCGTAAAGTTGCGCCATTTGGATGGGAGACCTTCGGCAGCTCAAAAGGCAAGACCTCGCGAGCAGCTCAAAACCAGGCAGAAACACAGTAAAGCTGGGCCATTTGGATAGGCGACCTGGGCGAGTCAGCTCAAAGGGCCAGGCCATCCAAGCGGGCCAAAAATGAGCACGGCAGCGTTCTCACAACCAAGGGCGCGCGATTGATTTGGATGGGGGACCTGATGCAGCTCCCCAAGAAGTCAGACCCTCCAAGCGGGTCGAAAATGGACAGCACCCACATAATGTTGAGCCATTTGGCTAGGAGGTCTGCCGAGTGAGCTCCCCAAAGGGGAGAGCCAGAACATTGCAAGCAGCTCAAAAGCAGCGCGCAGCAATCTCTTAGAGCTGCGCAAATTGGATGAGAGGCCCGAGCCAGATCGGCCTCAAACTTCAAAAGGTGAAGCCCTCCAATTTGGGCAGCGAACTTGAGCCAGTTCAAAGGCTAGCGGCCGCGCTGCCAGTGCTTCCGCTTATATCATACGCAGCAGCTTGCAGCGCGTAACTCCTTTACGTATGCCGTACCCCGTTGCCCTGCGCGTAGTTCATAGTACGCCGGTAGGCCGCATGTCTATAGTGTAGCTCGTAGCATTTGCGCGACCCTTTCGCCCTGCCCCGGCGTGTGTACACGCCGGGGGCACGTGGGCGGCACATATTTTGACTTGAGTAATGAATAGAATAGACTAACTCATTGCTCTATAGCGTAAGTAAGTGGGAGAAATTTTAACCCACGAGACAAGCTAGAAAAAGAGACGGACACATTGGCAGGCAGTCTGATACCGCGGCCAGTGGCTGGCCGCAAGTAGCATGAGTTACAAATACAAGGCTACTTCTTACTAGATGGGAGCGAGCTCCTGTCCGAGATAGCTAAAGCTACCTAGAACAAAAAATAAAAACGAACAACAAGAACAAGAAGGATCAGCTAATTCTCTATATAAACAGCTAATCAAGTATAATTAAGTAGAGGCACTAGAGAACAACTGCAAGTGCTTCACCTTCATTCCAGCTGGCAGTTCCTACAGAAAATGTCGCACCCGCTGCCTCGAAATGGGTGCCAGTCTTGATGTTTTTTACGTTCTCTTATATTGGGGCAGCCCTTCCTGGTTGCTGTGCTAATAGGGCTAGCTTTGTTCGTGTTCGTGTTCGTGGATTCTATTGATTTGCCTTGCTTTGTAACCAGAAAAAAAAAAGGAACAAAGCACAACGTATGAGAATAGAAAAGCAGCGTAACCTGGAACATGAGTTATTCAACGGTCCGTCATAATATTTCTGGAACGAGCTTCACGGCTGTAGCGATGTAGATCAGAAGAGGGATCACTCGTTCTGCGTCTATGATTGCGGTAGACACATCTCTATTAGGGTGGTCCTGGAAGTAACGTTCGACGCCGGCGGCGTTCTTCGACACTGTGTCATAAACTGGCTTGTTGGTGCATATCCATGTTTTGATAATTCGTTTTGCCCGTTCTGCTGGCAGATTTTTGCGTCCGAGAGCTTCGCCCAGTGTTCTCCAAATCATGAAAGGAGGATGGGTCGTGCACAAATTTCAAATCGATCATCTTTCTCTATGCAAAAAGATGCCAGAAGCAGGGGACATTACATCTCACTCAAGCATCGGCGAGTTTTTATAATTTCTTGAAAGAGATTATACATATACCCTTGCTGATGCTGCAATTGCAAAAAGCGCTCTAATTATAATTAACTTCTAGTACCATTCGAACACCAACTAACTTACTCATAATATGGTGGCACTAGTACAAGATGAACTGGGGTAACATATCTATAAATATATCGGACATTGCTATTGGATTACTTCGACATCCATGTCAAAACACGTTAAAGAATAGTGTAACCGAGCGCGACTTTCCAGGAGATGCCAAAGAGTTGCCCAAGAACTGTGGTAATTAAATCTAAACGGATCCCGATCAATAGACTAGCTAATAGGACCTACAGCCTACCACGCCGTGAAGTTATATCTACCTAATAACCACTAAGTACATAGGCGAACTGAATGGCTGCGTAAAAACCGCGCTTCAGTTGAAGTTGTCAAGCAACCAATAAATTTTGGAACTGAGTGGTCGTGCCCCAAAAACTTTGAATCTACTCATATTGATATTTGTTCGATAAGGCAGCAAGAGTTTCAATCAAAGTGAGAGTGACCAAACCACGTAAAAGCAAAAGTCGACTCATTCACTTATGCACTCACCCTTTCACGTGGAGAAAGGGCATAGGGAGATACGCACATAAAAACATGCGGCAACAGACTTCTCCAAGGCGAGGCCTCAGCAGTGACTACAAAGGTCGGCGCTTCTAAAGTTCCTTCTTCTTTCGGAACTGGTGCATTATCGAAGGGGCTTGCCGGCAGCGATACTGAAGAAAAAGAAAAAGAGAAATCTATATAATCATAAAGACATTGCAGCAATGCTTTTCGATTGTTTTGTAAGCGTTGGTTTGTATCGTGATCAGAATGATCCTGATTGAATAATCTTCGTATTGTTTTGTACGAAAAAATAAGAGACTAAGTCAACATCTGTACCATCTGAGACTACATAAAGAGAAGCGGGCGAGAAAGTCTCGCTCGAGGATCCATCTGGAGGGATTCTATCTAGAAAGAAAAAACAATAATAGAATGAAAAATTGTTGGTCATGTATGGCTCAAGCCCCTCGGATGTCGTGGCGTTCTGTTCTCAGTGGCTCACACAAAGCCTCGCGCTCGACTGTCATCGGGATGATCTCACAAGACACGAATGTCAATGATCATGAATGCTAATTCCAATGCACATTCAAGGCACAATCAACGCATAATCATAATGATCAATGCGTAGACTAGGCACGGCTGTACTGATCCTAGTCGTATGATGCATGTTCAGTCCGATCCCTTCTGACATGCGTACGCTGCTGATGTATGATTCATCTTACCCAATGAACCAAACAGGGACTACACCAGCCAGAGATCGCAAGCCTCAGGCAAGAGTATCAAGATTTGCTGGCATTCAAGGTTCTGACTCTGTGTCTCCACTGAGAAACGAACCAAGGCGCGGAGGCCTGTGTTCTTGTGGTCCAGCACTGGTCTAACCCTTGAGCGGCGAAAGTAAATAAGCTTGGAAGTAGTGTGGTAAAAAAAATAAACAAATCCATCAAAATGCCCTGCGAGGCCAAGGAGATCCTCAAGAAGTTGGGACAGAAGTCCGACTGGCGCGAGTGGCAACGAGCTGTGCGTCAAGTTAGAAGCTAGTCGCCTAGGCTTACTTGAGAACTACACGAATGTAGTCAACGTGCCGGCCGTTCCACACGGTATACCGCAAGGCAATACCAGTCGCGAAGAAGCGATCCGCCAGAAGTGGCGCAACCTGAAAGACGTAACCACGCGAAGCAAGTCTGAAAGGTGCGGCCAAGTCGTTCGCCGACAATCGGAACAACGATGGCGCGGCGGACGAAATGGATGCTGGTGAAGTTGTTGCTCTACTTCATGATCAAGGGAACTTCAACGCGAACAATCGCCAGGAGCAGCGCACGAAGGTCAAGCCGTTGTCGGAGGGACTGACGAAGTTCCACAACAGCGACCAGCCTGCAGATGTCAAGGAGTTCCTCTCAAAGATCCGCGACATCATGAACCAATCGCCCACCGTCTTCCCGCCGGATGCAGATCTGCCCGAAGCTGACCAACAGAACGGAGCGATCCTGCTGAAGTTGCCAGAGTTGTTCAGCAAGAACTTCAAAGCGACTATCGAGCGGATGCAAGAAAAAGATGACCAGACATTTGACCAAATTGGAGACCGACTTGAGAAACGTCTCACAACGTTGATCGAGGAGGGAACCTACAAAATTGAGAACGACTCCTTCGGGAAAGCGTTTCCGGTCAATGTTCAGGAAACCTCGAACGAGCGTCCTCGTGATGATAAGAATGAGGATGATGACGAGGTAGAGGCCAATAAGGCAGATGGTAAGACCTTCATTTCCGCTAACGCCCTCAAGCGTTTCAAGCAGAAAGAAAAGAAGAAGGCAATTGCCGAGGTCTACAACTCCTACGGGTACCAACCCAAAGGAGGAAAGAACGGCGGACAAAAGCCGAAGAAAGATAAAGGAAAAAGAAATAATAAGAATACCTATCCACCCCGCTGCGCTTGCTGCCACAAGGTCGGACACAAGTCCTCCGAGTGCTGGCATAACACACAAGCCCTTCAACAGGGACAGGGAAGCTGGACTGCCGGAGCCTCATCTAGTAGCTCTAGAGGCAAAGGCGGAAAGGGTAATAGCAGTGGCATGGTCCACATGTCGCAGGTTGCGGAGATGCTCAACGTCATGAGCTCGCACAACCGAGGCTGAGCGACGGAACCGTACGAATTTGGGAAGTGTTCGCTGAATTTCGAAGAAGATGAAATAATGACAAATGTTGTTAATCATGCTGACAGTTACAATACAGATGGATATAGTTTCACAACCTTGAATACTAGAACATCAGAAGACGCAACTCTAGTGGGTAGCTGTGCAAACAAATATCTTTCACGACACAGAGACGATTTCGATGAAATTGGTAACAACATCTGTAGAATAACAGGTAGCGCAGGTACTAAAGACGGAAAAGTCGGAAAACTCAAGAACAACGCACTCGGACTAAAGAACGGAGTTTACTACGATTCTCTACCTGGAAACATAGATCGCACATTGCCATGGTTAGGAGACGGAAACTGCTCGCAATTAAGGTGGGAGCTCAACTTCAAAGGCGCTGGCGGTTGTATCGTGCACACGGACACCGGCCAGATGCTACCCATCAGAGCTCACCCACGCTTGCAGCTACCCGTGCTCGCATGTAGTTTCTTTGAAAACAAGCACGAAAGTGGTTTCACTTGTGCATCCATTGAAGAAGGCGTCCCTAGTTGCTATCTTACGAGATTAGAACTACACAGGAGATTTGGACACTTTCACATAGATGGCTTACAAGTTAGTTGCCCAGAATGTGACCTACATAAAGGACAACGAAAATCCCACGCAAACTCTAGAGACGTGACCACCTACAAACCCGAACCCCTCAAACTACTTGCAATAGACTTTGCTGTAGGAATAAAACCCGTTTCAGTGAGATCTGTGAGATGTGTTCTAGTTGTCATATGTGACGTAATTAAGAAGGCGCTTTGTCGACCGCTGAAGCTTAAAAGTGACTGTGTGGAGGAAATAGCACAAGTCACAAAAGGCATTCGACAGGACTACTCCTTATCGCTAGATGACAAGGTAGTATGGTTCATCCGGAGGGATGGAGAACCAGTCCTCGGTAGTAATGACATGACCAAACTCATGCAATCGCTGCGGGTCTCAGGCAGTCCGGCTGTTCCTTATAGTCCGGAAATGAATGGGACTGCTGCACGTTTTATGCGGGCCTTGTTTGGCAGCGTGAGAACAATGCTAACGAAGGTTGGCCGACGTCTTTGGTGTTACTGTGTTGAGTACGCTAGTGACTGCTGGGACCGTCTTCCGCATAATTATGCTAAAACGCCAGAACACGATGGAAAGGGTCCAATAGAGATTCTAGAAGAAAGAACTGGTAGAAATTCTTCCAAAAGCAAAATCGGCATGCTCCGCCGATTTGGTTGTCTTGTTTACTTTCGTGAACAAATTCAAGCCAACACTCCTGAACCCAAGCTCTCCCTCGGCCAAATATCGCCGCGGCGTCTTCCTTGGACTCTGTCCGAAGTCGTCTGCTTGGTTGGTTGCTACTTTCGCCCATGACGATCGTTGCAAGCTTGGATATCGATGGGCGGAATACTCTACCCTAGATGTCAAGTCCAGAGAGGACTACCTAATAAAGGACATAGACTGGCTAACGCCAGATAGAAAGGGCTTTTACTATGAGTGCGATGAACTGGAAAACTTGCAGTGTGGAGCGTCGTCGCTGGGCTCCCCCTTGATTGGGCAGTCAGTGCAAAGGCTGGATCAGCAATCGGGGTTCTCTGGCACGGAGCGCGCCTCAGGTGGACCGACCGGCATTCCTGACGAACTATATGCTGAAACCTTAGACAAGAAGGCTGAATCCGACGTGGCTGACTCTTCTGAAGGTGTTTCACTTGAGGAGGGGAAAGTTGAAACGAAGGATCGAGTCTCTGACTCACCTCGTCCGACCAAATCGAAAGCGCTATCTCCCGCACGTGTTGTGGCAGGCGAACGCCATACACACGGCAAGAAGCGTGGCCGACCGAAAGGAGCCAAGGACAAGGCTGGCGGAAGGATTCGTAGAACAGAGAAACAGATGGAAGAACTCAGAAAGAGCTTGGCGCTGTTCGCAAGTGCTATTGGTGGCACGTGTGAGATAGACGAAGGCGAGGAAGTCGTCGAGTCGCGTGTGATACTGTCCGTTGCCAATGCATTAAAGAGTCCTGAAGCTGAAAAGTGGAAGGAAGTCATTGACATTGAGCACGCGAGACTACTAGCCTTTAAAACGTGGGAAGAAGCTACTGACGAGCAGCTAGCAACCGCGTTGCGGGCTCTACCAATTGCCATCATACTAACAAGAAAGAGATGTGGAAAATACAAGGCAAGGGCCTGTGTACTCGGTAATTTAGATCGTTCAGGAGAGCTAAACACCTTTGCTCCCGTGGTGTCACATGCTGCTAATAGGTTGCTCCTCACTTCTGCTGCGTCAGAGGGGGACTAAACTACGCGATCCCGTTCGATTTAGATTCAGCGTTCCTCACTGCCGAACTCGATCGAGATGTCTACTGCCGTCTTCCACCCATCTGGGCGAAACAGCATGGATGCGAGATCGTGAAGCTCAAGAAAGCTCTATACGGCTTGAAAGACGCACCACGAGCATGGTCCAAGAGGTATCACGAGACTCTAGCCAGTCTTGGTTGGGAGCCGTGTACTTCTGCACCTGGATTGTGGCGCAAACCGAGCAGCAAAGCACCGGGGAAGTTCCTGAAGATGTCTGTCTATGTAGATGACAATCTTGCTACAGGTCCCGACCAAGATGAGCTCAAGACCAGGCTAGGCCTCATTTTCACACGTGCTCCAGGCCGTGCGATTGAAGTCGAGCCAATTCTAACCCCCTGGGGCCTCGAATGGCTAAAGTTCGACTTCTTAGGTGCGGCCGTGTACTATGGCCGTGAAGCTAAGTCGTTCAGACTGTGCATGGAGCAGCACATCGATAAAATTGCTCAGAAGTATGAAGCTCAACTAGGGAAACCGGTTTACTCGCCCAATTTTGACGAAGCAACTTTTCTTGAAGACGGGATCAAGATAGTTGATGGGTATCCCTTTCGTGAGGTAGTTGGTGCCTTACTATGGGTAGCTGTAACCGCGCGCCCGGATATCTCTGCTCCGGTAGCAGCGTTGGCTAGACATGTCAGCAAACCCACGTCAACAAGAATGGCCAAAGCAGCCCAGAAAGTCCTAAAATGCCTGGTGTCAACAAAAGGCCAAGGAGTAGAATACTCCCCAGAAAAGGAAGAAGAATTCAACAAAATACATGAGAAACTTCTACCAGAAGGCAGAGACATGCCAGAAGTAAACATATCCAGTGATGCTGGTTTCGCCAACTGCATCAAAACAATGAGAAGCACAAGTGGCTCCATAATGTATTACAAAGGTACACCCATAGCATGGAGGAGTAACAGACAAACGGTTAGAGCCTACTCAACGGCTGAAAGTGAGTATATTGCAGCTTCTGACACGATTGTGCTCAGTGAGATGCATGACTTTACAGACTTCTATAGGCCTCTTCCAACTCAGTTGGTACACACACAGAACGGCTTGTCTCCCTCCTTAGACAGTGCTGCATTGTGGATAGACAACCCGTCTGCGATCACAACAGCCAAAGCAACAGACGCTCGCCCTAAAAGTAGACGCTATGCTTTACGTTATCTAAGAGTGCGCGACGCTGCTAGTAAGATCGTGCTCTGTCCTACCAACTTGATGAAGGCAGACCCACTTTCGAAACTAACCGGCAGTGCCACTCAGCGTAGACTTATCCTACACCACGTAGATAACCCGATAACTACAAGTAGAGAAGATGACTGCGATTCCTCTGATGATGAACCAGATGAGGACGATTTAGCTTACTATAGTGTAATTTATTCGGTTTATTTTGGTTTCTAAACCACCGTAGCCAGGTCACATACACTAAACAAGAGACGTGATTGCCGTGACTCAACACACAGTGAGGCGGTCACGTGAGACGGACTTCGACCCGCATCGATTGAGGAGGGGCGTTGGTCATGTATGGCTCAAGCCTCTCGGATGTCGTGGCGTTCTGTTCTCAGTGGCTCACACAAAGCCTCGCGCTCGACTGTCATCGGGATGATCTCACAAGACACGAACGCCAATGATCATGAACGCTACTTCCAATGCACATTCAAGGCGCAGTCAATGCATAATCATAATGATCAATGCGTAGACTAGGCACGGCTGTGCTGATCCTAGTCGTATGATGCATGTTCAGTCCGATCCCTTCTGACATGCGTATGCTGCTGATGTATGATTCGTCTTACCCAATGAACCAAACAGGGACTACACCAGCCAGAGATCGCAAGTCTCAGGCAAGAGTATCAGGATTTGCTTGCATTCAAGATTCTGGCTTTGTGTTTCCACTGAGAAACGAACCAAGGCGCGGAGGCCTGTGTTCTTGTGGTCCAACAAAAATAGAGGTAAGTCGTTGGAAAGCCACGACAGCAGTATATTGCCCCTATGCATTGAAGATGAAGAAGATACCTTGAAACCAAAACGAAAATTATCATACATCGATACATACCGATGCCTATCATGTTGTCGACGTTAGATGAACATGAAGAACTTGAACGTGAGAAGCTCACTAAGTACTTGACGGCGCCGGGATCTCGATGAAAATGACAGGGGCGACAGTCTTGCCATTGGTTGTATCTTCTTGTGTGGTTTTTATTAGAGCTTACCTAAATAGCAACTTCCATCTTGCAGTGAGAAAGGGTCATCTTTGCCGACGTGCTTTCCCCTTGATGGATGTTGTTTTTTCCATCTCGTCAAACGCTCACCGCTACCCTCTTCCCCTTAAAAATACATGAGTAGCCTAGTTCAGGGGTGCCGCGGCGGTCTGACAGATGCAAAAAACAACACTCGCACGGCCTCGAGAAGAATGCGTCAAAAAAGGTTGACCCACATATTCAGAACGGAGCAGCTAAAAGGCTTCCTAGCTGCCCGCTACTTGTTCTCGGGCCAGATGACCTGACGTCGAAACAAGGAAAACTTGTAGAAAAAGATGAAAAGCGGCTCGCTGTCTAATTAATAAATTACGGTCAGAGGCCGAAGGGAATTGCAGTAGGCCTTAACTGAAGCGCCTTCAGAACTTGCGCAAAACTTCCGGCACTGTTAACCGCGCAATCGCCCACGCCTTTTGCTTCTGGGTGTACAACATTGACGCCTGGCGCGGCGCTTCGTGCCGAAGTAAAGAAATGAAAGACGAAATCATTCCACATGATCTGAATCTTGTTCATGCAAGACAAAATAAAAGAACTGAAAGAAACTCAGTGAAAAAAAGAAACTACTAAACGCGCCCACCTAGCTCTTGCAGCTATGACGAAGAGCAACTTCATCAAAATCAGAATTTTACTCATGCAAGAAGATGAAAATTCTGAAAAGGAAGAAAATACTTAAAGATACAAGGGACGAAAACGTCCGTGAATTAAATCAATAAATAATATGACGCAAGCAAGCCGTCACTTTACTAGCGTTTATCGAGGAAAGAGGGTGAGCCCCAATCCCCACCGAGTTGCCGTATTCGCACTCTGCATCTGCCAATATATATGCATGGACCAGAGCTGGGAGGGTGCCGGTACTAGAAGGGGAGAGAGTATCAAGCTATCTACAAAAAAGATCGAATTTTCGATAAAAAAGGTAGAAGTAGGGGGAACAAAAAAGGCAGAAGCCAAAAGAGCCAAAATGGCCGAAGAATTGCCAGAAAAGGTAGAACCTGAAGCCGCGCGGGAGAGGAGCCGCGCAGGAGAGGAGGAAGACAAGAAAGGCCAGAAGACAGCGGCAGACGCGAACACACCATCGAACAGCCAGCAACCAACGAGAGAAACAGAGAAGCGCAAAGAACCACGCCAAGCGACCCGAGGGCGCCCGCGGTGACTGGCCGACGACTATCCCACACGACACACCCAAAACCAACCCCAGTACCGCCAAGCGGGAACAGACGAGAACCGACGGGGGCGAACGATGCTGCCGACAGCGCGTGCGCGCAGAGGTCCGGGGTGCCACACACGCGACACACAGAGCCGCCGCACACCATCCCCGAGGGACAGGCTTCAACTACGCGATGCCAGAGGGCTTTCGGAGCCCGCCGCAAAGGCTGACGCATTTCAAAACGAAAGCGGCCCGCGGAGCGAAAAAGGAGCGCCACACTGGGGGGAGGCGGGGGGATCGCAAAGGGAAGAAGCGCGCCGCGAAGCTCCTTCTGCGGGGGGGGGCGGGGGTAAGGTCGAGAAAGGGACCCCCTGGGCTTTACAGGATTTCTAGTCATGTCAGCAATTTGGTTGCGCTTCTTTACCATTTTGAAAATGTAAACAGAGGAGGCGCCAGCCTGTCCTGTGTTAACTTCGCCTAATTTAACACGACAGCACAACTGTGACCGCAGTGAGCACATCCACCAAAAATAAATTGGAGCAGCCTGCAGGAGGAACCTGAGAAGCACGCGATAGCGCTAGCACCAGCAGCGTGGCAATGGCTTGACTGTCAGCAACTTTTTTAGGATTCAGCTGACTGAGATCACAACAACAATGGGCAACGGCCTCGCGCATTAGCTTGGTTGTAAGTTTCTTCTCCCCTGTTCACTTTGTTGGGGGCTTTGATGTGGCGGACGCGGGGCAGCAGCGTTCCCCTGGTTGTGAGTCTCAGCCTCAGCCTTAACCTCAAGAGGGACGCGGAAAATGTCCACAAGACGGCGAGGGGGAGAATTTCCTTCGGCAGAAGTTCACAGAGCTTCGCAAAAAATGCGGCAGAAAGTCCAAGAGGAAGGGGGGGCAAAAGTGTTCTTGGTGGCAGAAAATGCGGCAGAAAGTCCAAGAGGGGGGCAGAAAATGTTCCCGATGGTCAGAAAATGCGGCAGAAAGTCCAAGAGGGGGCCGGAAAGTGTCCCCGGGTGGCAGAAAGTCACGGAGGGGGGTGGAGAATGTTCCTTCCCGGGTAGGCAGAAAACGCGGCAGAAAGTCACAGAGGGGGGCGGAAAATGTTCCCGGGTGGCAGAAAGTCACAGACGGGGGCGGAAAGTGTTCCCAGGTGGCAGAAACTCTACCAGGGGAGTGGGAAACGTTCCCGGGTAGGCAGAAAATGCGGCAGAAAGTCACAGAGGGGGGCAGAATATGTTCCCGGTTGACAGAAAACGCGGCAGAAAGTCAACCAGGGGGGCGGAAAATGTTCCCCAGGCAGCAAACCTGGCAGAAAACCAACGAAGGGCGCAAACCTGGCAGAAAATCAACCAAGGGGGCGGAAAATGTTCCCCAGGCGGCAAAACCGGGCAGAAATTCAACAAAGGGGCGCGGAAAATGTTCCCAAGGAGGTGGCAAACCTGGCAGAAAATCAACCCGGGGGGCGGAGAATGTTCCCCAGGCAGCAAACCTGGCAGAAAATCAACAAAGGGGGGCGGCAAAATGTTCCCGAGGCGGCAAACCTGGCAGGAAATCACTCAGGGGGGTAGAAAGTGTTCCCGAGGCAGCAAACCTGGCTGGCAGAAAGTCAACCAAGGGGGTGGAAAATGTTCCCCAGGCGGCAAACCTGAAAGTAAGAAAGTCGACCAAGGGGGCGGAACCACAGGAGCCACAGAAACCACAAGAACCACAAGAACCACAAGGACCACAAGAACCACAAGAACCACAGGAACCACAGGAACCACAGGAACCACAGGAACCACAAGAACCACAAGAACCACAGGAACCACAGGAACCACAGGAACCACAGGGACCACAGGGACCACAGGGACCACAGGAACCACAGGAACCACAAGAACCACAGGAACCACAGGAACCACAGGGACCACAGGAACCACAAGAACCACAAGAACCACAGGAGCCACAAGAGCCACAGGAACCACAGGAACCACAGGAGGCCCCAGCAGGAGGCCCCAGCAGGAGGCCCCAGCAGGAGGCCCCAGCAGGAGGCCCCAGCAGGAGCAGGACCCGCCTGGCGATCGCTTGGCCCCAGATCATATCCGCCCGAGGGCCGGAGCAGGACCCGCCTGGCGATCGCTTGGCCCCAGATCATATCCGCACTGGCCCCAGCAGGAGCAAGACCCGCCTGGCGATCGCTTGGCCCCAGATCATATCCGCACTAGAAATCCCGTAAATCCCAGGGGGCCCCATTCTCGAGCTTAAGGGGGGCGGGGGGGTCGCAAATGGAGGAAGCGCGCCGCGGAGCTCCCGCGGCCTGGCAGTTGCCCGCGCGCCTGCCTCTGGCGGGTGCGAGGTACTGCGGCAAGAGCGGGAGAACATAGAGAAACGAAAGGCGCAGCAGGATGCGCCAAGCCTGAGGGACCGGCCGCAGCTTGGTGGCAATCCTGCCAGGACACTGCGCGGCCAAGCGCGCGCGGCTCCCCACCGGGTCCGGGCGCGCATAGCACAGGCCACCGGGGCGCTGCGTTGGCAGTGGGGTGGAAGGAGCAGCCTACAAGAAGGGCCAAGGCCAAGCCCCCTACTTTCCGGGCCCCTTCTGATACCGCGGCCCCCGTTTGTCCCGGGGCCATGTTGGCCCCAGTTTTTCCGGGGACCCCGCCAGAACTATAAGGAACCCCGCGGGAAAATAAGGACCCGGGACTTTTGCGGCCCCGGTCCGATTAAAGGGGGAAAAGCACCGGGACCCCCATAATACAGGGGGCCCAGTTTTTCCGGCCCATGCGTGCTACAGTTTCTCTCTAGGCCAATGTCCTGGGGACTGAGGTTTGAACTTACTTTTTCCGAGAAAAAAGGACAACCTCCATCGCATCGGCAAAAATTTCTAGGTCGCGAATAGTGTGTGTCAATTCCAATTGAGTGATAAAAAATGTAAGTCTCCGTATTCTTCACCCTAAGGAGAATGCTCCCAAACCCAAAACCAAATAACGAGAATACAGGAGCTTATTAAAAAATAGTAGAGTCAGAAGACGGTTAGCTCCATAACTAGGGGGAGTCGCTTGGACAATAGTGACCGGGCCACAGACTTGCGCAGGGGGCTTCGCATTGAGCTCAAGGCGATCTATCACGTGTACCTTTATAAGGCTTGCTGTGCTTTGGAGGGTCTCTGTTAGCGGTGTAAGAAATCCATCCCAGCAGCCATCTTCTCAGCCTCTCTACTCTCTTCTCGTTTTCTCATTTTGGAGATGGATACTTTGGAGGTGGATAATTTCCCACACCCTTAACGCTGGCCAATTCGTGTTGCCCTCTGAATCTCTTTTGCTCTGTTGCATTGCTTGCACGTACTTGGAGGCGGCCAGCTCTTTTGCTGCATTCACCTCCCCGCTGTTCACGGAGAGCATCTGCGTAAAACTTCCGACAGCCAGTAGAGGGGCCGGCAAGTGGTCATGATCCGCGCCGCACGCTTTAGAGAGAAGGAGTAGAACTAGTAATAATATCGTCGTAAAGTAATAATACTAGCAGAGAGAGAAGGGGCGGCACTAGCTATAGCCTCGATGGGACATCCACTCTGCTGGGGGGGAGTCCAGCAAGACAGAGGGAGGGGGAAGGGTTGCAGGTTACGGTAGAACCCCCGCAGAGCCCCCCTAATGTTCAGGCTGTTCGTGTTAAATATTGCATCCGGATTAGAGAGCCCCAACTAGAAACAGATAAGACCTGGAAAAAAGTCAGTCAAATCATCATCATCATCATCATCATCATCGTGACCACTGCGTCACATCGATACAAATAGAAGAAAAGCATTCACCTTGATCTCAATTGCATGTCTGCTTTTCTACTGTAATTGTAATTCCTTGTGGCCGATGGACAAACTTCACTTTTTACATTTTTGTTAACAAGCAACTAAGGCAAGTCGCGGTTACTATTTCTCAACAAGGCGCCTTCGAAAAGATATTGCGTCCCAATCCTGAGTAAGTATGGGCGCCCCCCTCTTTGTATCTAATTGTTACAGCAGTTGACACAGAGGGCTTCAGGACAGAATGTGAACAGAATGTTGAGAATCAACCGAAGTTGTTCTCTGATAGAATTACAAAATGACATCTACGACAACAAAGCCACGCTCCTAGTGCTAATTCATATCCTTTATTGCACAATCTAATCTAACACGGAGATTCTAGATTAAGCTTTGAGGCGAAGAGAGCAGTGCTTGAGCCTCAGTGAGGTGGTCATCGTGTGACCAGTACTAGTAGGTAGTTGTACAACCAAAAATTTATTATAAGAACGGACTCTTCATCAACATCAATACTCATACCAGTCGAACTGCTTCCGCCCAGCATTGCCTTGTTCAGTAGATCCTGGAACTCAACGCGTGCCGTTGTGGTCCCAGAGCCAAGCCCTTTTGAGCCTTCTTCATCCTTTTTTGCGGCCTCTATATTAAAAAGCTTGTCGTTACCATACAGCGGGCGAAGATCGTGCGGGCCGACGCAGTACTTGGGTGGCATCTCTTAGAGACGAAAGACCTAGAAGGCAGTCAGCGCTAGGACCAACACGACACAGCGCAATGCAGTGAATATTATTCAAGAAAAAATCTCCCAAAAAGTAGTTCAGTGCAGACAAACCAAAAACAGAGAGAAGCGCTTCACAAAACTTAAGAAGTAGGCTAGTTGTAACTATTGAAAGTAAGTATACTATCAGGAAAATGCTGAAGAAAGAAGAGGAATGCACTCAAGACTCCCTTACTTCAGTGAGCAACTCGCTTACTTTCAGCATTCGACTGCCTGCGTTCTCCTCATTAAAGATTACGTATAAGTACAACAAGACTATGATGTTTACTAGGCAGATGATAAAGCTGGCACTGGACCACAAGGCAGACTGCCTTAAGTGACGATCAACGCGGTGAGGGCTCATCAGTAATGTAAAAAAAGCGAAAGCGTTGGGGATCCCTCAAAAAAAATAGATTGTGAAGGGCGTAAATCTTGAGTGGTGCGAGCGAGTTGATCGTTTGCGGGACACGGTAGGACGCTTCGCGCAATGCCTCTAGCAACGAAACTCTTGAATCTTGGGACCATCTGCCGGGGTCCCATCTGTAGGGACACTTCGCGCTTTGATCTTTTAGCTTGACCTGGGTCCTTTCTTCCTTGTCATCAGGAGGTGTTGTCCTGCATTTAGGTGCCGGCATGTTGCAGGCAGGGATTAGCGGCGGAGGCATAGGTTCTATAAAGTACATTTACATGATGACGTCAGGTGGGGGGCATAGCGGCGGGGCCGTAGATTCTATAAAGTACATGATGATGTCAGGTGGTGTAAAAATGACAGAAAACAAGTACTACAATAATAGTGATGGGGATAGACTTTACCTTAATATTAAAGGCAACTATTCTTGTTAGCAGGGGTTTCATTACACGCATGTCAGTACTTATACGCCTACCAATTAGTCTGAATTTCTGAAGAGCGTCCCTTAAGGAGCCTCCTTAAGGAAGCCTCCTTAAAGAAACGAAAATCTTTAAGGGTTTTCTTATTATAAAAAGCTATGATAGGTTTTTTATCGTTGGCCAATGGTCACTACTGGCTCAAGATCCAATGAATGAACCTGATTCCAATGCCAAACGACTGCCCTCACTCGTCTCCTTGATCATGATCAACGCCGTTCCTTGTCTTGGACTCTTGTTCGTTCCTCGTGTGGTCATCATTTGAGCTCAATGAGTTCCAACATGAATGAGCAGCAAGATCTCCCAGATCTTTAGCTGCACTATGACCCTTCATGATATCCCAATCACAGTGAGCCCATTTTGATACCATTTCAGGGCCTTAAACAGTCAGCGACCATTCGGCGCGTCCGTTCTGATCGTCTTTCTGTTACATTGCAACGATTTTGATTGATTCCATTTGCTCTCAAGAGCCCCATAGTGCGCTTGGACGTGTTCAGGTGTTCCAACACTGTTCCAAGCCCTTGAGCCTTACCTTACTCAAGAAGGTGTTAGTCAATTCATTGTAGAAGTAGTGAAAACAAAGTCGCACTATTTGCGCCACAAAATGCCCGATATAAGTCTTGGAGAGATTTCACCCAAACTGGGGCAGAAATCTGACTGGCGTGACTGGCTTCGAGCGGTAACGCAAGAAGCAGACCGCCTGGACCTAGTCCAATACCTCAGCAACGTGCTGAACGGCAATGCGGCAGGGGTTCCGAACCAACCCAACAACAACGACCGCAAGCTCCAGCAGAATTGGCGAGATTTGAAGAGCGTGGCCATCAAGTCGCTCAAAGGTGCAGCCGAAGCACATACGAAGGATCAGGATGCCACTGCTATGAACGCTGGCGAGGTGGTAACGAACCTCCGTGACGCTGGTTTCAGTCAAAATGACCGCACAGAGCAACGAATCCCGGCTAGAGCGCTGGAAGGGATGCACTTCACGAACCGCGACTCCCCTCCAGACGTTCCAACATTCCTGGCGAAGGTTAGAGATGTCACGAACCAATCTCCGACCGTCTACCCGCCGGCAGTTGGTGTGGCTATTGCTGATCAACAAAGCGGGGCAATCCTCGACATTCTGCCTAAAATGTTTTCCAAAGCATTTCGGCAGACAATCGAGAGGATGCAAGATGAAGAACGTCTAACGTTCGTCCAAATCGGTGAAACACTCACGAAACGGCTTCAAAGTTTGGCTGACTCTGGTGAGTACAAGGTCGAGAGTCCATCTTTTGGCAAAGCCTTCCCGGCTGTCGAAGATTCCGACGATGAAAACCAGAACAATACCAAAACCAAGAAGCGCAAGCGTCAAGATGAGAGCGATGACGATGGTGACGCGTTTGCCGCCCTCAAGAAAAATTAAAAAAACGATCAAACGACTTCGCAAGAAGATTCACAAAGAAATCAAGAAAGAAGTCTACGCAACGAAAGGAAGTGGAAAGAGTAGTAGTAGTTCTAGTAGTAAGAAGTACGCAGGAAGTGGCAAAGGTAAAGGCGCTAAGAACTCTAATCCTAGTGAGGGTATCCAGTGCAGCTATTCTCACAAGTATGGACATAAGGCGCATAAATGCTGGCTAAACCCGATGAGTCAAAGCTACCAACCTAACAAAGCCATGGGCAGCAACTTTTTCAACAATTCAAACAACTGCTGGCCGCAAGGTAATGCTATCCCTCCGCGGCACCAGAACAGCTATCCACCGCAACAAAGTGGAGGAAAAGGATTTGACAACAGTAACCCACAGCAATGGGGTGGACAACAACCACAGCGCTGAGTCGAAATCGATCCGAAATGGAATGGATATGGGAAACGAGATGGACAGTCCCAAGCTGAAGAACAAGAATTTGAAGAAGGTTTCGAAAATGAGGATGGAAGGTGTTCGCTGAACTTTGAAGAAAACTTTGAGAATAATGAGTATAGAAGTGAACTGCTTAGAGGTGGAAACTATATGATTGAAAGTCCCTCAGATTGTTATCTTAGTGCAAATCTATCAAAGCGAAACAGTTTCACTCGTTGACAGCTGCGCGAGTAAGTACTTGGTTAGCCATCGTTCCGATTTCAAGAAGATTACTAGCTACCGGCTTTGCCACATTAGCGGCACCGCTGGAAAGCGAAGTGGGAACCTGGGTAGACTGAAAGAGAATAAATTAGGACTAAAATATGGCGCACACTTTGAACACTTACCAAAAGCCATAGACCGCGTTACGCCGTGGCTAGGTGAAGGAAACTGTCATGAGAAGGGTTGGCAAGTGAACTTCACAGAAAGTGGCGGAACGTTGTACAATACCCGCTCCAGCCGCTCTCTACCCATAACAAATTGCCCCCAGATGCATGCAGTTACCTACTCTAGGCTGTGACATGTTTAGCAAAGAAGAAAACGAAACTGCGGAGGATATAGTAGGCACTAGTATAGAAAAAGCTAGACTTCATTCACAAGCCTCAAGATTCGACATACATCGTAGACTTGGCCACTTTCACGTCGATGGCCTTAGTGTGTCTTGTCCTGAATGTGATCGGACCAAAGGTCAAAGGCGCTCTCATGCAAAAGCGAGGCCCGCTGGGCATATACCTTCTCCATTGAAAACACTTGCAATTGATTTCGCAGTTGGTATTAGACCAGTATCTACAAGAAGCAAAAGATGTGCTTTAGTCATTATCTGCGATTCGATTAAAATGCGTCTCGTTCGTCCTCTTTGCCTTAAGTCAGACTGCGTTGAGGTGATTGAAGAAGTAATAAAAGGCATTCGCCAGGACTACTCACTGTCACTCGACGACAAGGTAGGGCGGTTCAATCATCCGTAGAGATAGCGAACCCGTCCTGAGTAGTGACCATATGACCAAAGTCATGCAGTCTCTACTGGTTTCGGAAATTCCTGGAGTTCCTTACACCCCAGAAATGAACAGAACCCGCGAACGTTTCACGCGGACCATTTTCGGTGCTGTGCGTACCATGTTGGTCAAAGCCGACCGACGTCTTTCGTGTTACTGCCTCCAGTATGCTGGAGATTGTTGGAATCGCTTACCGCATCGCTATGCAAAAACGCCAGAACATGACGGAAGGAGTCCTGTCGAGATACTAGAGAAGAGGATAGGCAAGAAGTCCTCGAAGAGTGGTCTAGGTATGTTAAGAAGATTCGGCTGCTTGGTGTACTTTCGTGCACAAGTCGTAGACACCACCAACAAGAAAGAAGCAAAGCTTGCGCCACCTTATCGGCGTGGTGTGTTCCTCAGTCTGTGTCCAGTTTCGTCTGGTTGGCTAGTAGGCACATATCACAACGATGGGAGAACGAGAGCTGGCTTCAAGTGGAGTGAGTGCTCCACGCTAGATGTGAAATTTCGAGAGTCGATATTAGTCAAGAACATTGGGTGGCTATTGCCTACGTCGAAAGGCATTGACGTTGATCATGACCCGCTGGAAAACCTGCAGTCTGGCACGCCGTCGCTGGGTCCCGTCCTGCACAGACATGCGCTGCAACGTATGGCCTGTCAGCCGCGCTTCTCTGGCACGGAGTACAGCTCAGGCGATCCAACCGGCATAGAAATGATATCAGATAACAATGAAACTGATGAGTTTTTCTGTGAATCTTTGGACAAAGAGGAAGATCCAAAGACCGGCGACGATTCCAACTCTGACGCGCAACGCGTTGAGGAGGGGAATAGCTCATCGGAGCGTGTGCCGCCTGACTCTAATCCTGAAGCAAGGGATCCGAGGCCCTTACCCATTCCACCATCTCAGCCAGGCAAAGTCGAGGAGGGGAAGAAAGGCCGAGGAAGACCCAAAGGGAGCAAAGATAAGAATCCAAGACAACGCAAAAGAAGAACAAAAGCCGAGCTAGAAGCATTAAGAAAAGACATGACTATCTAAAATTGCCATGCTAGCAGGCGGGCATGAGCTGGAAGAATGAAGGGGAAACCTTTCTCGAAGCACATGCTATGCTGTCAGTTTCCCAAGCCTTGAAAAGCC